AGAGAGAGAGAGAGAGAGAGGGGACAGCACAAGAGAGAGAGAGAGATAGAGAGAGAGGTGGGAGAGGGACAGGGGGGAGAGAGAGGGAGCGAGAGAGCGACAGAGAAAGAGAGGGAGAGAGCGAGTCCTGAGCTGACCGAGCTGCGCCGCCTCCACGCCACACGGCGGCGGTAGCGCACCGTTCCCTGAGCCGCGGTGGAGAAGAAGCGGGGGGCCGACTCTCGGACAGTGAACACTGCGGTACATGCGACAGCCGCTCAGCCCATGACCGCTTTTCTCCCGACAGCGGCGACGACACGGAGGAAAACAGACGTGTCCATGTCCGAGTGAAGAGGCGGAGACGAGCCCGACGTATCCGGGAACCCTGACTTCTCCTCGCCGCCGCACCAACCGTGAGTGGCCTCTTTTTTCCCCGGCGTGTTATTTTGGTGGGCTGCGGAGGATGCGAGCAGCGGGGCTGCGAACATGGTTTGGGTTCCGCTTGTGTTTATGTAAGATTGGGCTGGTAATCCCCCCCGGAGCTGCGCAGGCGGCCGGTGGGACTCGCCGGTTAAAACGACACCGCTGGTTTAACGCAAACCTAACGCGGAATCAACCTCGTGTTTACGCAGCGACACTGTGGGGTTTGTGGCATCATCACCACCATCATCATCATCATCCTCATCGGAGGTTCACCCTGTCAGAGCAGCCTGGTGGAGGTCTGCCCCGGAGACCGCATCACGTACGACCCTCACTCATACAGTAATACTGGCGCTATGCTAGGTGCTGCTGCAGCTCTGTGCTGTGCAGGTTGGACTGAGTGTAATCTGCTCCTGTCACGGCTGCATGTAAATCCCAGTAGGAGAACAAGCAGAGAGAGAGAGAGAGAATGGAAACAAGTGGATTATTCAGAAGTCAGTTCATCTGAATCCACTGTTACCTGACTTAATGGGAATCAACTGGAATCAGAGATGATATTTTGCTGTAATTGTGCTTAAATTATGACATTTCCCACATTCCACAATAACACTAAGAGACCTGCTCTGGTAACACTGTGTGAGCAGCCAGTTTTTACTCCCTGACACATTATTTACCCCCGAGGCAGATTGAGCCGTCACTTTTCTTGACCTGGCCCTTGTCCTGCAAACATCTTCCAATTCTCAAATGTATCGATTGCGGATTTATAAAATTAATTGTTATAATATTCTTATAACACAAGTGGAAATCACTTTCAAACTTTGTTGCTGTGAAAAAGGACATTATACCTAGTAAGAGTGAGGTCAGTAGCTGTTAGTGCTTTTCCCAGATTGCATTTTTATTATTTCAAAACTTCAAAAATCTTTTATAGTAATTTCAAAATCCATTATAATGACCATTGCTACAAAAAGTAAATCCAGTGGCCACAAGCATGCACTCATCCATTTCCTATTCAGCTGTTTTTCAAGTGGAAAAACTCAGTTCCTCATGTTATGCAATGCATTACAGTGTGTACACAGTGTATGCTCCAGCAAATAGACAGATGAGGACAGAGAAGATTTTTTGTGTAACACAACAGTCAGAACTGTACCCAGACCAACACTGATGTTTTTAGATTGATAACAGTATCAGTATAAGAAACATGAAGAGAAGTCTGATAATGACGAACATGACATGAAATGCT